CATGTGGTGCTGGGGGATTGAACCGCGGTCCCTGATGCCTTGCCAAGCTTGTTCTAAGTAGGTGCTCCAGACCACTGAGCCATCTCTCCAGCCCCTGCACAGGAAATATTAAGATGAAGAAAAACAGACACTGCTTCCGAAGACTGAGAGTTAAGTAAAATGGAGAGGTACAGAATGTACATCCGCACAGTGGCACTGAGGAAGACCACAGCAGACTTCATTAGAAGGCAGAAGTGTACTGCATAGCCTTTCTGTGCGTATGATTTCTCTGTCAGGAAGAGTGATACTCACAGTGCCTCTACCATTATGCTCTGGATATAGATAAGTTGTACAAGAGCAAATGCAATGATGTACAGGACAAATATGAACTTAGTAAACTAAGAGAACTGGGTTTGAATGCTGGTCTCCTTGATTAAAAGCTTAGTTAATTTAGACAAGCCAGTTGCACTTTTTGAGGAGCTATTTTCTTATCTATACCACAGGAACACTAACAAGTCCTACCTCACATAATTACCAAAAAAAGAAATGAAAAGGTAAAACACCTATCAACTCATTAGTAAATGTGTATTCGCAAACTGAGTCCAGCCACTATAATCTGATTGTTTCCATCGCCCTAAAATTCATACACTGAAATCCTAATCCAAATGGAGGTGGTATCAAGGTATCATGGAATTAGGTCATGAAGGAGGGGACCACCTGAATGACATTACTGTCCCTATAAAAGCAACTGCAGAGAGACACTATTCTACCATGTATAAACATAGTTAACAGGTGTTGTAAATGAACCAGGAAGTAAGACCCCAGGAAAGTCTGAATATAAATTGCCACTGTCCTTCTCTTAGAACTTCCTGCCTCTGGAATGAAGAAAAAGGAATGTCTATTGTTTGTAAGCCGTTAGTCTAGGGTATTTTCTTATGGCCGCACATATAGACTAAGGTAATTTTGTATCAATACATCAATGGGAATTCTAGAGACACATTTAACTTCCTTAAGGCTTGAGATTTAAGTTTCTTTATTTGTTTTGTTGGTAGACTTTTTTATTCACTTTTTAAAATTCACTTAGTCTACCATAGTCACTAAAATAAGCCCTATTTTAACAAGAGGGAGACAATAGTAAAATATAAAGCATGTACAGGTCTGTGCCAACTAGAATAACAAGGTCAAACAAAAAGGCCAAATCGGAGAGATGTGGTAGTGTACGAGAACAACAGATAGTGTCAGGGACCAGGCAACCACGCACACAGGCACAGACTAAGAAGGTCAGTTTAGGACAAGACGACCAGAAAACAATAAACCAGGAAAACAGATGCAGGAAGAGAGGGCTAAAATAACTTGAGAAACACAATTAGAAAATCTATGGAATTCTTTATCCAGTTGCAAACTGGAGTGACCAGCCTTGAATAAATAACCAGCCTGCTACAATGACAAAAGGCCAATAATTACTATTTGTCCCATGAAATACCCTTATGAAAGGTTCTTTCACATCAAACTCCAGAATATGAAGCAGTTCCCTTTCTTTTCCTCAGAAAGATGATAGCTTTGAGAAGTTCTGAGAAAGTTCATGTCTACAAATTAAAGTAAAAACTCTTGTTTACATTGTGGCTGTTATTATGAGCAAAGCTGAATGAGAAAAATACAACAAAACTAGGGGGCAGAATAAATATTAATATTTTTAACATGGCTCTCAAGACTGGGTACTTTGCAGCCATACTTACCTCCAAGAATCCCGACTTATCTTGCTATAAGACATTCATGCCTGCCTGGTCTGTTCATTAGTACTGCTCACTGTGACTAACCAATCACCCCTGCCAATGACTAGTTAACCACTCCTTGTCTTGTTGTTGACAGCTCCAAACTTGTGCTCTCAGAAAGTCTTCCATAATTATTTCTACCTGCTTGGTCAGCTGCATGGTGCACTAAATAAATTATATTGTTATATATTTACATAGGATCATATTCTTGTCTTCAAAGCAGTTACTGATTTTATAATGATGTATTCCTGGTATTTCGTTGTCAATGGCTCATTGTAGAGGACCAAGCACCCATAACCATAGCCATGGTTGACTTTTTTTTTTTAAAGAGAATACAGAGTAATAATATAAAAGAATAAAATTAGGAATGATACAGAATTTCACTTTAATTATCATTTCAACTAGAGAACTCAGTGTGCATGACACCTGTAGGACTCAACAATTATTTGTTCAATGAATAAATCATTGAATGACAGCAAATGCTTTATTCTAATCCATGCTGAATGGACCATGAAGGGTGCCACAGCAGTTAGACATCCAAGTTTTCTTGACATAGTTTACTGTGCTAAACACAGGAAGGGAATTTTGTTAGGTCAAGGACTATGCTCATTAAATTATTGCCACATTGGACAATTACATAAATTAGATACAGCTCTTACTGCCACTGGTAAAAACAAAACTATGACAATTTATTTTAAGAGAATTTTCTGCAAATATTGCAAGCAATGTAAGAGAGGGAGTCTATTAAGAGTAACAGCTGGACTCTGAAACTATTCTGTATTTTAGAGCATGACATTACAACTAACTAAAACAATATCAGTGATTTTAGCACATATGTTAGTGCTTCATAAATACTGTATGACTTAAAGGAATATCTAGAGCCAGTGAAATAGCTCAATGGTCTAAAGCACCTGCTTAAGCAAGCTCAGACAAGCACAGGGACCGTGGCTCGATCACCAGTACCACATGCTATGCCAGCCCCACTCCCAGGGTGGGCTGAACTGGCCACACAAAAATAAATAAATAAAAAAGAACATCTGTGTGTCAGGACTGCTGCAGATAGATGAATATCACGTGTACATGCATATTTTAAATGTATTTGTCTGAAATTGCGTATTTCTTATCCAATGTCTCTGTCTCAGTTAACCATGAATGGAAATTCATAGAAATGTCATCTGTAATTTTAATAAATTATTTCATAAAGATACTAAGAATTGAAACTTATTTTTGGCTTTGTGGTATGTAATCTGTTTTGACATTTTTTCCATTTGTCTTTTGGGGTACACTTTTCCTATCCTACATATCCTAAAGGTATCCATGATGTCTCAGTACAGAACTGTTAGAAAGTGTTTCACATAAGAATTGCATGTCATGTATCTGATAAGCCGTGATGTTTTTCCACAAAATGAATCAGTTTTTTATCCATCAAAATTCTTCTCTGAAATAAAAAAGCTACATATTGAGGCAAAATACATTAATATATACTATAAAAGCAAATGCTACTTAAACTGGAAAGTGCTTTACTCCAAATTCCATTTTAATATCTCAGAAACATCAAGTTCATCAATTAAATAGTATGTTTAGTAGGATATAATTAGATGAATCACAAAATTTAACTTTGGATTTGCATTCTAATTTAATTGGGTAAAATATATCAGCAATCTTTCAAGGGAAGCCTGTAGAAGTTGTAGTAGAGGAGGACGTGGCATGTTTTAAAACTTTTTTTAAAAGGAATAACACATATACGAAATATTTTCTAGTGAAATATTACCTAGGCCCTCTAACCACAAAAATCATGTATGTTAACAAAAAATGATATTTACCAGTCTGGTTGGATATTTAGAATCACAACTCCCTTTTACTTAGATGAATGCATTTTTCCTACATGAATATACATTTCCCATATGAGTGCATTTTTAGCTGCTGTTTTGTTAGTCTTATTTACATAAGTGAAAGCTAAAAGCAAGCAGCGTGGGTGGACATTTCTTAAATGAAAACAAGCACAGTTGTGTGTTTGGCTAAATAAAAAAAATTACCATTATGACAAAGATGTCTTTTTTATTTTTTAATTTATTTTTAAATTTATTAATTAATTTGTATTTTGTGCAGGGTCTGACTATGCAGCTTAGACTCATAGTAATCTTCCTGTTTTCAACCTCCCTCATGCTGTGATTGCTGGAGGGCGCCACCACGCTCATACTCGCTCCTTGGCTCAGCACGCCCAGGGGTGGGTCAGCGTGGCAGGTAGTGCTGGGACAAAGACGTCTTTTTTAAAAAAATAATCCATACTTTGAAAATTAGAATATCGTAATAGCTTTAGCATTATTAGAATTTAAACTGACCAAAGCTTCATTCTGGATTAGAATGGGCACTGTTGATTAGTGTCCAGAATTGCTCAATGTGGCTAAAATTGAGATACCGGTCATGCTTCATTCACAGTAAACATTTCCAGTGGTGACAACGAGGCCTGTAACATCTTGCCTAATACTGACTGAAAAAAGTTGACTTTCAATATTAGAAATGAAAGATTAGGGAAAAATAGAGACTCTAGATCATGTGCCAAAATGCCAATAGTATGTACAATTCAAATTCGAGGCTCCAAAAATGTAAATTGCTGGAAGAAATTGGATATAAGACCACAGGGCACATGGGATGGCTGGACTGAGCAGTTGTTTTAAAAAGGGCTACCTGGAAGACAGCCTCATTAAAATGACCTTAATGAGTAATAAATCCACATGAAATTCTTTAAATAAAAAAATACTTAAAAAAATTTTAAACTGACATTTGGGAGTATTCTTCCCCCATGAAACTATGTGTTAGGAAGATTTTGATAATATTTCCCATTTTTATTGTTATAAAAATATTCTAAGTGACTAAAATAGGATATTAATGTTGTATTATTTATAATCATTAAAGGAAAATTTAGACCACAGAAAGGGATCTGTATGTTGTCACTCAGCGGATTGTATTAATTTTTTTATTGTGCAATGGATAGAAATTAGATGGCATCTGCTGCCTAGGGAATATTAAATCCTTTTGGACTAATGCTTAACTTTCTTATGTATGAATAATTGACAACTATTCAAAGCATATCTATAGTTTTCTGTGCATATTTAATATTTTTCTTCAATAGCCTCTCTGTAGATGGATCGCTGAAGTGGGCTGTGATGCAGAGGACAACGCCATAGAAAAAGCTACTCCCTCCTGACTGGAAATGCAGAGGGTAAGAACCTAAGGTGGCAAAATGCAAGCGGTACAGAGAGGTTGGCAAAAACCAACGTATGCCGAGCTTCCAGGCATGGCTCCATACCAAAGGCAAAGGGAAGTTGCTGTTAAGAAAGGAAGTAACACAATCAGGTCTGTGTCTTAGAAACTGAAGTGGAAGCAAGCACGACAACAGGGAGTTCAAGGAGAGGCCCGCAACACGAACCTAGTGATGCCCAAACCATCCTTTGCTTTCGCCGCAGCCTTGGCTGCATTTGTTATTACTTGATTTCTTCATGGTGGCTGTTCTTTCTGTGGTAGGATGGAATCTCAATGTTGCTTTAACACTGGATTTGCATTCCAATTTAATTGGGAAAATATATTTATTACTCCAATAAACACATGAAGAGGGAATCAGTGTCAGTTTAAAAAGTGTATGTAACAAAGAAACAAAGAATGTTTCTACTTTGAACATACTGAGTCTGAAGAATCTGTAAGATATCTAAGTGAAAATATCCAGACAGATGGTATGATATTGAGTACAAATCTGACTACTAAAACATAGATTATGCCAATCTGTTTTATTAACAATTTTCTTTTTGACCCTGGGTTCGATTCCCAAAAGATATTTCTTTATATTATTTCACAGGTATTAGTTCTCTATGAAAATTTCTTTCAGAAATGGACAATATTACATACAGTTTTAATATTTTATTTAAAGAGTAAAAACTAAAGCAAAAGCAAAAACAAATAATCAACATACAATAATAAGTATGGTACAGAATTTCAAAACAAGAATAGAAAACTAACAGTGGTTGTTATATTACCTATTTTTATTGTCAAGTCTGTTGTTCGGATTACCAGATAAAGGTTTGCAAGATTTGTCCAATAATTAAACATTAACTCTTCCTTTCAATAAATCTTAGTTTTTCATATCCTTTTTACTTTTTATTTTTAAATTTATTTTAAAGAGAGTATAATAATTGATAAGACATTAGAAATGGCACACATTTAGAAGAACAAGATGAGGTATACAACCATGGTTTTTGAACTGCATATTGCTGTCTTCTATGTAGTTCTTCAGATTATAGATATTAGCATATAGAGTTAGCCAAAGTGAAAAATTTAAATATTAACAGGTACTTTCAAAAACATGATGAAAATTAGTAGTACAATCATCTCAGCTATCCTGAATATATATATGTATATATACATATACATATATATACATATATATATACATATACATATATATACATATATATATAATATATATATATATATACATATAATGTATATATATAATTTTTTTTCTTTTTCAGAACAAGGGATTGAACTTAGGCCCTTGCGCTTGCCAGGGAAGCACTTATTCTACTTAGCCATCTCCCTGTGCCCCTGAATATATTCTTGACTGGTTTTTTACACTTTCTTTTTTTTTTCTTTTTTCCTCTTTTCTCCCTTCTCTCATCATTCCTGGAGGCAAGTGTTATACTGATACCAAATATAAAGACAACCAAAAAAAGATATGCAGGCCAATCTGCCCCATAAACATAGATGCAAAAATCCTCAATAAAATATTAGCAAGTAGAATGCAGCAAATCATCAGGAAGATTATACACCACAATCAGGTAGGATTTATCCCAGGGATACAAGGGTGGTTCATCATGTACAAATCTATAAATGTAACACACTATATCAATCGAGCCAATTCCAAAAACCACATGATCATCTCAATTGATACAGAAAAAGCTTTTGACAAAGTCCAACACTCATTCATGATCAAAGCCCTACAGAATATTGGAATAGATGGCCTGTACCACAATCTGATAAAAGCCATCTATGAAAAACCAACAGCCAACATTATTCTAAATGGACGAAAACTGAAACCTTTTATTCTAAAATCAGGTACAAAACAAGGATGTCTGCTATCACCCCTCCTATTGAACAGAGTTCTAGAAACATTAGCCAGAGTCATTAGATAAGACAGAAAAGACAGGAATAAGAATAGGGAAGGAGGCCTGGCACTGGAACCAGGAAGGCACTGAGCTTAAACTGAAGCAAGTTTGTAGGATGCTGGTGGTACTCTGATCTTCAGAAAGGTTTCTAGGACTGCGATGCTTGCACATCAGTGGGAGATATGGGACACCGGTCATCAGAAAATGAAGAAGAAAGCAGAAGCAAGAGAAAAAAGAAATATCATAGACAATCATCTTCCAGCAGTTCTTCAGACAGTAGAACACACAGCCAAAAGAAAGGTGGAAGGAAATCAAGATCAAAGTCGAGATGCTGGTCCAGAGATCTTCAGTCTTGTTCACATTCTTATGGTAGAAGGTCCAGGCCAAGACCTCGTCCACATTCCCACAGCTGAAGTAGTGAATATTCCAGTCACAGAAGAACCCGTGGTAGGTCCCGGGACAGAGATCGATGTAAAGACAGAGATAAGAAAAAAAGAGGAAAGGATAAAGGCAAGACAAAGAATTACACATGGGGAATGGAAACGTCAAGCTGGATGAGAACAGCTGCTACCAGCTGAGCAAGCCAAAGCCAGACTACAGCTAGTTCTTGAAGCTGCTGCAGAAGTTGATGAAGCACTGAAGGCCAAAAAAAGAAACGAGGCAGACGCAAAGAGAAGAAAGGAAGAAGACGAGGCCACCCTGGCAGAACAAGGAAAAGAGTTTAAGATATTGAAGCTATTGAAAGTGATTCTTTTGTTCAGCAGACATTCAGATCAGGGAAAGAAGTCAAAAAGTCAGTGGAACCCAGGGAAGTGAAACTTACAACTCCAGGATCAGGACTGGCAGCTGCAGTTGCTGACCCACCCAGTGCTGAGAAAGAAATAGACGCTAGCAGCATCTCAACCGCTGTCAAGAACCAAGATGACAATTCTCTGGCTCATCCAAAGTTATTTAATGAAAACGCTGAAGCTGAGGAAAAGCGGTTCAAGAGATTAACTACTCTCAGACAAGAAAGATTAATGGGCCGTCTTGTGGCCTAAATAATATATTGTTTAAATCAATTCCAACTTTTTGAAATTTAGGTTTTTGATTCTCAATATTAAACTTTCATTCTTAAAAAGAAATTAGTTTATTATACAAAAATGTAATACCATTTTATCTTTTTCTCATGTAGGCTTTACTATTTGTTGACTTGAGCTGAATCAACCATGTGAATAGCAAAATTTTTAAATGCATGAAAATTTCGTGTACCATTAATAAAATTAATCATAAAATATTGATGTTTAAAAAAGAATAGAGAAGGAGGGCTGGGGAGATAGCTCAGCAGTCTAAGAGCCTTGCCAGCCACTGTAAGGACCAGGGTTTGATTCCTGGTACAATATGCTGTGCCAACATCGTCCTGTGACACATGCCTGTAATCTCAGCACTGGGGAGGCTAAAACATCGCTATGAGTCCGAGCTGTGTAGTGAGACCCTGTACCAAGTATATAAATTTAAAAAAAAGGAGTAGGTAAGGAGTAAGTTGAGCTATAATTATTCACAGACAACAACATGATACTCCACATAGAAGACCCATAAAACTCCACCAAAAAGCTACTAGAATTAATAAATGTATTCAGTAGCATAGCAGGATACAAAGTCAACATCCAAAAATCAGTAGCTTTCCTCTACACAGATAACAAATTCACTGATAGAGATTTAGAGAAATATACATTTTAAATGCATAATAAAGTAAATCAAAGTATGTTGTATCTATAACCTATTAATAAAAGAGAACGATTATATATTGGTATATGATTCCTCACCATGCCATATGGATGACTATTCCAATCAAACTAATTATCATCCTCTAATATGTCAATGTACATAAATGGTGTTATAAAAACTGAACTCTTTCATCCATGTGCTCCTTAATTATATCTTTAGATTCATTTTAAAATAGGAATTTTATACAATGGATGGACACTTTTTGCCCAGGCCTTGAGAAGATACATGATGTAGAAAGAAAATACAAAAGACAAGCCAAACAAGAGCATAGCAGCTAAGTAAAGGAATTGGCCTCTTTGTGAACAGAAAGAGAATCCCCACAGAGTCCTAGCAACAGAGTACAGCTCAGCTTGGTATAAACAAGCTTTCTTTTTCTAAAGATCCCACCAACCGTGAGGAAACAGCAAAGGTCACTGGCTAGGCTGGATACCTCTGAAAATCTGAGCCATGAAACATTCACAGATATGCCTAAGAAAATATTAATGATAAAATTTTAATGTAATCACCAATCTGTCTGATTAAGGAGGGAACAAGGCCATCTGTTAGGAAGTC